ACATCAGCATCACCAGGCGCAGGATGCGATTGCAAAAACTGTAATACCTTAAGAAGTCCAGCCAGCCATCCTTTACGATAGATGGGTCCAACTGCAACGAGAGGAAGTTGTCATTCAAAACTTTGACCGGGCTTCGAGTATTGACGTCCAGTAAAATTAAGGTTCTCTCCAGAAAGCTCTGTCTCTTCCCTCCGGAAACTGGTCTCCTGTATGTAGCGGTGGAGGGAATGAGAGACTGGAGTATCAGTGCCAACCACAGTGACGAGCCGAACACTGGGCAGAGGAGCTGCCTGGGCATCTTCTGTCCTCAAGCACCGGGCGGAGCGCAGTGAGGGAGATCCAGCAGAGATCTCCTTATAAAACCCGATCGAAAAGCACCTGAAGTGTTTTACGCCCCTCCTTGAGCGAGGATCGCTGGTGTCTCTTTCAGCCCCCCCTGTCTTCAGCTGTTTTGGAGTAAACTGACGCCCGAGGGCCAGCCCCCATCACACTGCTGCCCCTGCACCGCCCTCTGTAGTAACGCAACGGCAAGGTAAGATGACTCTTATTTATCAGAAGCGTCTTCTGGTTGGGGTGTCTGCGTGGACAAAAATAAGAAATACATAAATAGACGCAAACAGGGGTTCTTTGGTTCAGCAAAAAAAAAAAACTTTTTTATATCCACAACCATTTATAGCTATAGCAGGGTCTTTGGAGTTAAAAAAGTTACTGATGTCATATGATAGGTTCTTCACATGCTGTTTGTTTTTAACTCCAGCTTATGGCTGTTTTCTGAAGAACTATTAAAAATGTAAAAAAAAAAAAATAATAATAATAAAAACAATTATCCAATGGAATCACCAACGAGCCCGATCTCATGAAAGTGCGTATCTATAGCACGAATTTAATTTCTCGTATCATTTAATACGGCGTTGTCTTCGAACAATGGACTATTTTTGTGCGTGAGTGATTGCAAATAGTGAATGACTGCCACTTGTTTATACGTTTACGGAAAAATAATTAAAAGTTGTGTATTATGTCTGGTTTGGCGAATGAACATTGCTCAGACTTGACAAAACAACTTGTTTTGAGTTTTTTCGTCTTCGCTGACATAAAGTTGAAATGTTGATGCGGACAGTTATTGGTAGCTTACAGTTAACCTATTCAACTGTAACAATATATGAATAAGTTATGACAACATGTTTTTACATTGCTTTAATTCATCAAAATAAGTTAAGCAATTTTCAACGTTTTGTATAAGTTAAACAAGATTCAACTTATTTTTTTAAGTATCTGTTTCCAGTATTGATAATTATCACTCACTCACAAATATATATTTTTCTTATTAAAATTACTTACTGGAAGGGAAATAATAAAATAAGTTAAAGTATAAAATACAATATATACATATTATATAGCCTACCTATAATAACCGTTACATATTTATAGGGAGGATATGTATTTTCTCCGAGGGGAAAAAAAACACTTGATGAAATATTAATTTCCAGTTTTTTTTTTTTTTTTAGTTTTTTTTTTTTAAATGTGTGTTTTTTGGGGGGTAATTATTCACATCGCGACTCCGGCTAGGAAGGAGGAAAAATGTATAGATCACGAAACAAAAATAATCTACCAATAATTTCGTGATCGATACATGGAGCTATAATCCACCTCGTGTTCTCATAACGGGTCCCTGTGTCAGAAACATTTGCTTGCTTTATCTTTTTGAAATATTCGTTTACAATAGACACCAACCCGAAAATAGTTTTCCATCTTTTCGATAAAGTAATTGTAGGCTATACAGTAAACTATTGATATATATAGCTATATATATATTTAAGATTTTAAATACCCTATAATTCCGGAGCAACGCAAATCTGACGCTGTTCTTTGTCCTTTCACAATGCTTTTATGAAATGTGAATTTAAAATGCTTAACATTTGGTTTAGCCTATACATATTTCGAATTTAATAGTAGGGTGAATTTTTGCCGGCATGCCATCATCTCAACTGGTGACTGACATGTGTCATGCTCTTATTAAACCTGACGTGCACAGGTCAATATAGACAATAATAATGCTCTGTCACCTGACCCATGATGCTGTTGTCCAATAATTGATTTTTTTTTTCTTGACTGAGACTTTGGCCTAACATTCCGCGCGTCTTGAGACACTCATCCGCTTTCTGCAGAGAATAAAACAAAACAGAAAGAAAACAAGACTCTGTGCTGTTTTTACAGGCTATATTTCTTGGCAGAGAACCAGACAGGGCGCCTCTGTTTAACCTTATAGATTTATGACAAGATTTATCAAGTTTTATATTAGAAATCTTTTGAAGTGCATTTAAGCTTTATGAAACTGGAACTCACCGTTTTAGAGAGTAGTGGGTGCATGTAGCCTAAATATATCAAATAGGCAAGGTCTAACAGTAAGGAATTCTTAGTTTTATGTAAAGCAAAACAGTATAAGCTAAATGATTCTGTTGCTCCCCTTCATTTCTAAAAAAAACATTTTGAAAAGTCTATAAAAAAATAAACAAAACTGTATATGCTTCCACTTTTTTTATATCCTAAATAATGAATTCAAGTTGTTTAGTTCTTCCTAAAAAATAGACTTTACATTTATTTTGAATGCCTTTAAGGGGAAACAAAACTTTTCAACTTCACTTAAATGTAATTTCTGTTTAAAAGTTCATATTTAAGTTAGCTCATATAAATCATATTTGCGCACATTATTAATTATTAAAATGGCAGCTGATATGAAGCGAGGAGAAAGATTTTGCAGAAGGTTATGAGTCATGCGTTATAACGCCATTACAAATATAGCCCATGCTTGCACTATTTTGGTCGGGTAATTTGTCAAAGTTCATAGGCTAAATAAATAAAAATAACACGTCGAGATTTTCAGTTATTAATATAACAATAGGCAAATGTCCACTCACCTTGTTCAAAGTCCTGCCCAAATCTAAAATATGAATTTTATTTGCAGAAGAAATAAAACAGAATCATATAACGCAACGCAATAATAGTATTAGTTAATCTCCATAATGTATTAGGCTATTAAAATGCATTGGGTTAGACAACTAAATAATATGCACTTAAAGATAGCATTATTTTCCATTTTCGACATTCTTTTTTAATATATAAAGATTATGTTGTATATTATTTGTGCTGTGATTTCCCCTCTTCACACACATTAATAGAACATATAGAGTCTAAAATAGTGAAGCCATCCGAGCACGGCACTCCCACTGTTTCCTAACAGGCTTCTGAAGGACGTGCAACATTTACACTAACTGGACCATCAATATTGCATTAGTTAAAAGTTTCCCGAGCCTGCTATCTGTCCTGTGAGCCTCCGTAGTGTCAGACCCCCTGACAAGGTCAAGGCTTTACATACGAACATTGACGAGTCGTGGGCAATAAGAGAGAGAGGGAGATGAAGAAAAAACCCTCCACATATTTGTCTCTGATTTACGAGGTGGAAGCGAGTGATGCTGAGCAGACGAAAGTGGTTAGCACACACAGCCAAACATCTCCAATTTCTTCTTTTTCTTAAAGTTTTATCTTGAACTGTTCATATGGTGTCGCACTGGATGTCTGCTTTAGGCCTGGCTCCAAACACTCGGGGAATAAAAATAAGTGTTTATGAGACCGCAACTTATTGTTTCACCCTGCTATCGGCGAAGAGAGTTTTTTTTTTTTTGTTCTGTTGTTGTTGACATTTTTAAATAGGCTAATATAACAAACATTCCACTGAACGAATTTCTTGCTTTGAGAAACGAAAGATGGAATGCAAATCAATGAAGATTGTGTTATAAAATGTAATTGAACTATAACAATCTTGGATTCTTGTCGTGTTTTCATGTTTTATGGGGATTTGTGGGGACCTACCCATCACATACAACTTTCTGCATTTTAACATTTTCAATAAACATCACTTTGTATGATTTATAAACTGGTTTCCTCATCGGGGCCAAAAATGTCCCCACAAAGACAAGGATTTCGGATATTTTGTCCCTATTTTTGTTATTATTTATGTTTTTGTCCCAGGATCACACTGAGGTCTACTGTGTGTATGTTTAAATATATTTAGAGCAATTTATTTAAAAAAAACTTTTTTAATTGTAAAATAAAATTTCTAGACATATATGTTGTTCTTATGTCACTATTTGTGAAGTTGTTTTGCGAAAAGACAATTTTACATTTTATTCCATCAATCAAACAAATCAATATCACTTGTCTAGAAGTTTCCGTCATTCGGTGGCATTCGGTTCTGGAAGTCGAGGCGAATTGTGATAGAGTGCCACCTTGTGGTGAAGACTCGTTAAATTACACATAAAAGTTGATTTTTTTTTTGCATTGGGTTGGAAACAAATGCAATTTTAATCTAATGCCCTTATTGAACAATAATTTCAATAATTCTATATGTTTGGCATAAAAATAGAGTGAATACAGGTGGTACACTTTCTGATAACATGTCATTTTAAAATAGACCATTTAACCCTGAGTAAAATTTAGTTGAATCTCGTATAACTTAAAAAATAAAGTTTAAAATGGCTTAACTTATTCTGATGAGTTGATAATGTAAAAACACATGTTGTCATTACTTATTGATCATGTCATTTTTTACAGCGTACATTCACTAATATATTTATTTACTTATTATTTTGCAAATGCAATATTTGTGATGCAGTGAAATTCATTCATTTTATGTTCAAATAGCTACTTTTTAGGCCACTGTCCAAATCAATATAGGCACAGGACATGCAACACAGTGCAATACGTTGTAATAAACAATATAAAAGGCCGATACATCTACATCTGTCCACCGATCTTCTGGGTTTGTAGTGGTAAAATAAACAGAAATCGTTTCACACCATCTTACCCCAGTTCATTTAAATGTTACAAATGTGTCCAGTGCAGTTCTCCTGGACTCTACATTTCATGTTTGCTCCTTACAGTAGCGCAGCCCTGCGACGCGTCATGACGTCACTGCGGTGTCATTTTGATTTACACGAGACTCCAGCTGTTAACACTGACTCGGCAAACAGAGTCGATATGTGTGCCCGTGGGTGTGTGTCTTCGCCACGTGATCCAGCTCGCCAATGTCCTTCTACAACCCACTCAGCATCATGGCTGCGGATGCTGCGGATGCTCTCCTCCCGCACCGCATCCTTGGACCATGCCTTCTTCCCCTGCTCCTGCTGATCGCCTCGGCTCTCCCCACACCGAGCCACGGGCTGCTGGGCTTCAGACCGGAGGCCACGGGGGGAGATCTGTCCGTGCAGGACGGGCTGCTGAAGGCCACCGAAGGGACGCGGTTCATGTTACGCGTGTACTATGCAGCATCACCGCAGAGGCTCAACCGGACCGCCAGCAGCTCCGGTGGAAGAGCCGCGCCGTGGATCGCCTTCATAGAGGAACCGGAGCCGGGCAGAGAGGGGCAGGTGCATCCCAAACGCAACTTGTGCGTGGAGGAAAGCGCGAGGAGCTCGGATATAGAGCTTCTCGGCTCTTTCAAGTCAGCCTCTAGTCAAAACTCCATCCTGGTGGAGCTGCTCGCCAAAGACCTCCGGAGAGGAGAGAAAATCAAGTATTACTCAATCTGCGCCTTTGACGGGATCAAGTGGGTGCATTACCGGACGCGCGACTTCTGGCTGGCGGTGGTGGAGCGGCTGCCGCATGCGGACGGGTGGCTTCAGGCGGGTCTGTCGGTGCTGTTGCTCGCGCTGTCCGCGCTCTTCAGCGGGCTGGTGATCAGCATGCTCGCGCTGGACCCGGTGGAGCTCAGAGTGCTGCAGAACAGCGGCACGGACATGGAGCAAAAGTACGCGCACAAGATCGAGTCGGTGCGCAAACACGGCAACTACGTCCTGTGCACCTTAGTGCTGTGCAACGTGTTTACCAACACTTTCCTGGTGGTCTGGATGTGCCAGATCCTCGGAGGGACGCCCGTCTCCACTGCAGCGTGCACTTTTCTCATCTTCTTCATCGGAGAGATCTTTCCGCACTCGGTTGCGTCCAGGCACGGGTTGGCTATCGCGTCTAAGACCGTGTGGCTGACCAAGATGCTGATGCTGCTGACTTTCCCCATCACATATCCCATCAGCAAACTCCTAGACAATATGCTGCACCAGGAAATCAGCAACTTCTACACCCGGGAGAAGTTACTGGCTATGCTGAGAGTTACCGACCCGTATCATGACCTGGTGAAAGAGGAGCTGAACATCATCCAGGGAGCTCTGGAACTCCGGAGCAAAACGGTGGAAGATGTGCTGACCCCTCTCAACGACTGCTTCATGCTGGCCTCGGATGCCATTCTGGACTTCTACACCATGTCAGACGTGATGCAGAGTGGATACACTCGCATTCCAGTGTTTGAGAACGAAAGGTCTAATATTGTTGATATTATGTTTGTTAAAGATCTGGCCTTTGTTGATCCCGATGACTGCACCCCGTTAAAAACCATCACCCAGTTCTACAAGCACCCGCTGCACTGTGTCTTTAATGACACCAAACTGGATGCAATGCTGGAACAGTTCAAGAAAGGTAAGATGTTTGTCACCTATACTCTAGTTAGGCTATGTGAAGTTCGAACAAGTGATACAGAGAAGTCAGTGTGATTTCTTAAACGGATAGTTCACACAAAAATGAAAACCCATCATTTACTCACCCTCCATTCATTCCAAACCTTTATATATTTCTTTCTTCTGTTGATCAAAAATATATTTTAAACAACATTGGAGCCCATTAACTTTTATTGTAGGAACAAAAAACAACACACACACTCACACACATAGATATGCATACATTTCAGATATGCAGGGTTGCAAAACAATGAGTTCAGGAGTATATGATGAACTGTCCCTTTAAGAATATATTACAATGGCAGTGCATGGGAGAACATACTGTACTTCATGAAATTATAGATGAAAATATGCTGGTTAAATGTGATGCATTGCCCTTCCATTTGTCATTGCCCTCTGGCTATGTGGTCTATATAAATATAAATAAATATATATATATATAATATTTTACATTATTTTATTTTGACATGCATTGCACATTAAGGATTTAGCATCAGCCTCATCGTTATAACTTCAGCTGACATCTGCATGGCTAGAGGCTGGACTTGAATAAATTGAATTTGTTCCTATGGCAACTACTTTAATTCTGTCATCACAGTTCGCCACGACAGCAGGGATTGTTTGCGTGGAGACAAGCATGTTTTGACACACTTTTCTTTTTCTAATACTGCATAAATGACTAATGCCAATAAGCACTGACATTTGTGGAATGCAGGGATGCATACAGTTTTCTCTTGATCCTGCCTTGCACAAATCCTAGACAGTGATGTGATGCGTTCTGACGCCTGGTATGAAATCATAGTTTGGCCTTTACTGCATCACAGTGGCAATTACGTAATGATGTCTTATTGAGATTGATGGTGTTTTCTACGAAGGCACGGAGTCAATGCTACAGAGCGGCAGCAGGGTGCAGAATGCCTTAATTCAGCATAATGCAGTAACCTGTCAGATTTACTGCTCTCAGTGGGTACAAGATTCACCAGATTTGCCATATCCGCAGGGCACAAATGTTCGCAAGCAGTAAAATAGTAAAGGGATCATCAGCAGTGTCAGTTCCATAACCGCTGTAGAAAATCCAGGGCAGTTTAAGCAAAGTCCCAGACCAAAAATAGGATTTTTTTTTTTTTATCACAGACTGACACCGCACTGCACTTTAACCCTGGATTGAGTTTAATCTTTGAGCAAGACTTCAATTTATTGTCTACCCCACAGCAGAACTGTCTGAGGGAATTCGTTCAATTTAGCACTGAGGTCAAAGTTCGTCTAGTGGATTGCTCTCATTTTTCAGTAATCGCTCCATTCAAATAAACAGTCCTAGGAACTGTAAAGGATATGGAGTATTAGTGATGTTGATGTTGTTCACTGTCAGATTGTATCTTTAGGGGTGCAACAGCATGTCCCTGGGGCAGTATACCTTTTAAAAGGACAACTTACCTTTTTTACCACTAAAAGGTGCATTGTAATACTCTTAAAGGAATAGTTCACCCAAAAATGAAAATTCTGTCATTAAAGGATTAGTTCACTTTTAAAAAAACTTTTGCTGATAATTTACTCACCCCCATGTCATCCAAGATGTCCATGTCTTTCTTTCTTCAGTCGAAAAGAAATTAAGGTTTTTGATGAAAACATTCCAGGATTTTTCTCCAGGATTTCTCTCTTGAACCGTTGCACTTTGCTGGGCACCAAACGGTTCAAGGTCCAAAAGACCGTTTCAGTGCAAACTGCAAACTGTTCAAATGGCTTTAAACGACACCAGACGATGAACAAGGGTCTTATCAAGCGAAACGATCGCTCATTTAAAAAAGAAATGACAAAGTTTAAGTTTTATAAGCTCAAATGCTCGCCTTGCTCTGTTCTGTGTGACTCTCCTGTTCGAACTCGTTCATCAAAATGAACGAATCTTTTTCCGAGTCAATTCATTCATTTCGTTCGTTAAATGAACCAAATGACTCGAAAAAAGATTTGTTCATTTTGATGAACGAGTTCGAACAGGAGAGTCACGAACGTGCATCACAGAACAGAGCAAGGCGAGCATTTGACATTATTAAACTTAAACTTTGTTATTTATTTTTTAAATGACCGATCGTTCCGCTTGATAAGACCATTATTCATCGTCTGGAATCGTTTAAAGCCCTTTGAGCAGTTTGCACTGAAACTGTCTTTTGGACCTTGAACCGTTTGGTGCCCAGCAAAGTGCATTATATGGAGAAAAATCCTGGAATGTTTTCATCAAAAACCTTAATTTCTTTTCGACTGAAGAAAGAAAGACATGGACATCTTGGATGACATGGGGGTGAGTAAATTATCAGCAAAAGTTTTTTTTAAAGTGAACTAATCCTTTAATTACTCGCCCTCATGTCGTTCCAAACCCGTAAGACTTTCGTTCATTTTCAAAGACAATTGAAGATCTTTTTGATGAAATCTGAGAGCTTTCTGTCCCTCCATTGACAGCTACACAACTACCACTTTGACGCCTCAAAAAGTTCAGAAAGAGATTGTAAAACGAATCCATATGAATTGAGCGTAGTCAAAATTTTCTGAAGAGACTCAGTCGCTTTATATGGTAAACAGATTGAAATTAAAATTTTATTCACATATAAACATTCATCAAGACACTCATCAGTTGTGGTAAACAGAAGTTCAAACATGTTCGCTTGACGTGCGAGAACCAATGAGGTTCATTCTCGTGTTACGCATCACATTTGAGCTTCAGAAGAACCAATGAGTTTTTTTCTCATACATCAAGCAGGTTCGATTGAGCTTCTATTTATTTAACCCTTTAAGGTACTAGTATGAATGATGTCCCTTTAAGACTACTGCCACAGACAGATTAATAATGAATGAATTACTGTCCATCCCTGCTGCAAACGTCCCGACATGCAAACTATTGTACATGCTTTTTATTTTCAGTTTTAATATAGCAAATATTTGGCAAAGATTATGACAGAATGAATTGACTGTGTTCTTTGCTTTTCTGTAAGATTTTGTTAAAGGGCCCCTATCATGGATTTTTGAAAATGACCTTTCATGTAGTGTCAAACATCCTGCAAAGTTTTACATCTGAAAGTGCACCGTATATAAAGTTATAGTCTTTCTAAAGTAAGAGTCGACTCCGAGTCAATTAAATGAATTGTTTTTCAAACAAGTCATAAGCCGTTTCGTTGTGACGTCAAGACGAAACATTAGCATATTGCGCGCGCAGACACCAGGGAAAACTTGAACCTCAAACGAGGACTGCGAGATACTGAACAGCATCATGTCGAGAAGAAGCTGTGCTCTACAATGTGAAGGTAAAGCCAGTTTTTTTTCACTGCCCAAGGACGAGCATGTGAATAATCAGTGGTTAAAATTCATCTTTACCACGATAATCACAGGAGTATAATCCTAAACTTTTGCTGTGTTCCCTTTATTTTACTGACGACTTCTTCTCAAATCTCGGAGTTCAATGCAGGATTCGCAAACCGCTTGCTCTTGAAAGATGGTGTTTAAAAAACGTAGTTTTGAGTTTGATATTGTGTAGGTCTCCTGCTAACTGGCTAACTCATGTTATCACTGTCTTACTGAAATACTTCTGCTGATCAGCTGTGGGCCACTATAACCTATAACTGTGTCTATTAATGCAGATTGTCTGTCGTTCTCACTAACGTTACTTTGAGGAAATATTTGTTTTACCAACGTTTATGTTACATCAGTCATTCACTATAGAGCTCGGCTAATGTATACATTGCACACACGCACTGTTATTGATGTTTCCACGTGTTCACCGCAATATATTAGAAAAATACTCGGTAAATAAATGATCATCGCATGTCCTTTTGCGATGGAGGTTCGGGTTGAATGAATAGTTCTTCCAATGTTTCATCATCGGACTCGCGCTCGCATTGATATGGTAAAATCGACGTCATTGTTCGTTACTTAGGGTGTATTCACACCAGGAAAGTCCGAAAGTTCACTTACTTTGGTCCGGACCAAATATTTTTTTTTTTTTTTTTGGTACGGTTTGCTTTCACACTGCTCTTTTTGCAAGTGAACCAAAATTTGTAAACAAAACCACACGTGTGCTAAGGTCGTCCATTCATTGGACAAGGATTCTCAAGTAGGGAAATCAGGAAGTGCAAAAAAGGCTTAACGTAAATTAATGCAGCATCATCCTTGTATTGTAACTATCGTTACATTATATGAACTGCAAATGTTTGTTTTTTTTGCATCTATGCGCGATTAGACTAAAGAGAACGCTCTGTATGTGAATGTCCTGATGCACACACTCATTCATTCATTCCATTCCAATGATGCACACACGACGCGCAGAAAGACGCGCAACAGATGTAATGTAGTAGGCTACAACAGATCACTTACCCATAACGCAACTCCGACTACGGAAGCCTGTTAACTCAAAGGCGCAGTGCTTTCTTGCAATTGGGTCGGTTTATGTTCACACCGTAAACGAACCGTACCAGAGTTCGTTTGGAACCGTACCGAGACCACCTCTTCAGCTGGGTCTCGGTTCGGTTGTTTGGTCCGCACCTGAGTTTGATTGCTGTATTCACACCTGCCTAAAAGGTCCGCACCAAGGGGGGAAACGAACTAGAGTTCGATTCAATCGAACCAAACAAGGCAGGTGTGAATACACCCTTAATTTACGGTGTTGGAAGCCTCAGGACAAGCAGAGCTAACGTTGTTATGGCAATGGGCGTTTTGGTTTTCGACGGACGCACGCGCGCTGTATGCGGTAAGCCAATCACAACAGACTGAGAAAATGTCTGGCCAATCAGAGTAGAGTTGCTCACGGAAAGGAGGGATTTAGAGAGATTGATTCATCTGACGAGTCGTTTGAGAATCATTGAATGTGGTGATGTGCAAATGTATATTATAAGGAAATTAAACTGTTTTTTGACCTTAGATGCATATTAACCTGTTGTAGGAGACTCCAAAACAACATGAGGAAACTTTAAAATAGCCTAA